ATGACATTTAAAATGTTTAAGTGAACCATGACTGGTGCCCAATGTGTTGGCAAGAGTTTCCACCTAAAACCTGAGTAAAAAGATTCTAAAATGGAGCTAAAAAACAGTTCCTAGTTGTCTCTTTCAAGCTAGTGGCAGCCTGCGTTTTTGAGCTACTATGGTGGGTTCCTGACGTGTGTGCGCTCTGGACCTGCCGTATGGCGGGAATGAGGCCTCTGCAAGTGGCACATTAAGCTGCGTGGTGGATTTAGCCTTTGCTAGGACAAAACAAAAAGAGGTTTCTGGGCTACATGCTGCTTGATAGAAGCATAGACCCACTATTTCTGAGAGTTGATGGCTCCCAGAGCTGGTGGAAAACGTACCACCGCCATGTTGGGAAGCTGAAGTGGGTGGAGCCAGCAGCCACAGTGCCAGCACTGTTTCAGTCTTAGAAGGCTGCAGTTTAAAGCAATAGGCTCAAGCTAATATAAAAAATAAGCCATGTAAAGATGGCTACCACACAGAGAATCTGGATTATGTTCTCTTTGATATTCCTAACTGAAGAAAAACATTTGGTTGCAAAAGCTGTTGAGTTATGCCAAAATGTATATTTTAAAGGTAACTTGATTTGAAAATTTGGATGCAAGGATATGTTGCTTTGGAAATGAGGCTCTGCTTTTGTTTCTGAAAGCCAGAGGCTATGGATTTGTTCCAGATTAAGATACATCAGGTTTAGCCGGGCGGTGGTGGTGCATGCCTTTAATCCCAGCACTCGGGAGGCAGAGCCAGGTGGATCTCTGTGAGTTCGAGGCCAGCCTGGTCTCCAAAGCGAGTTCCAGGAAAGGCGCAAAGCTACACAGAGAAACCCTGTCTCGAAAAACAACAACAAAAAAAATACATCAGGTTTGACCAGCCAAGACCACCTGAAAGGTCTCCGATGACACCCTGGCCCAGATGATCCAACATCCAGAACCATTTCAAGGCAACTGGTTCAGATGATACACCCTCATGGACTACTCCATAATCCTAAAATTTTCTTTGTGTACCCATAAGATACAGTGCCCCCACTCCAGCAGGAAGTAGTAAGAGAAGCTACACCCAAATTCCCAAATATACCAAGCTGGCTTTGGAGATGTATAAAAGTTAAAACCTTCCTCTTTAAAAAAAAAAGAAAAAAGAAAAGGGAAAGTGCTGTGGGACGGTCTGTATGTCAAATTGCTCTGATTGGTCAATAAATAAAACACTGATTGGCCAGTGGCCAGGCAGGAAGTATAGGCAGGACTAACAGAGAGGAGAACAGAGAAAACAGGAAGGTGGAGGGAGTCACTGCCAGCTTCCGCCATGACAAGCAGCATGTGAAGACGCCAGTAAGCCACGAGCCACATGGCAAGGTATAGATTTATGGAAATGGATTAATTTAAGCTATAAGAACAGTTAGCAGGAAGCCTACCATGGCCATACAGTTTGTAAGCAATATAAGTCTCTGTGTTTACTTGGTTGGGTCTGAGTGACTGTGGGACTGGCAGGTGACAGAGATTTGTCCTGACTGTGGGCAAGGCAGGAAAACTCTAGCTACACATGGCCACACCTAATAGCGACCTTTGAAGTTTCCAAAAGGGTGATTTCCTTGTTGGAAGAAGTATGTCACTAGAGATGGGCTTTGAGGTTTCAGAAGCTCAAACCAAATACAGTGATTCCCTCTTTTCCTGTTGCCTTTGGGTCCAAATATAGAGCTCTCAGCTACTTTATCTGCATGCTTGCTGCCCTGCTCCCTGCCATAGGATAATGGACTAAACCTTTGCAACTGTAAGGAAACCTCAATTAAATGCTTTCTTTTATAAGAGTTGCTATGATCATGGTGTCTCTTCGTAGAATTAGAACACTGACTAAGACAACCTCCAAGGGAGAAGTCCTACAGATCACATAACAGCTTGGGAGAAAGTCCTGGATATCATGTACCAGCATGGGAAACAACCCTGGGTTTGTTGTAGTCACATAAAAAGCAGTCCTTGATATCACATACTCACACTGGAGAAGTCCTTCCTATTATGTACCTATCTGAGAAAAAATCCTCAATATCATGTACCTGATAGGAGAAATTCTTGCATATCATGAACCCACAAGGGAAGAAATCCATGATATCATGTACCCTCATGGAAAGAAGTCTTGGATATCATGTACCTTATGGTAATATTTTCTGCATATCATATACCAGAGTGGGGAACTGCAGGAAATCATGAGTTGTCCTGGTCTAGCTGCCTTGAGAGGTATGTGTCATAAGTTTTTCAGGTTAAAGTCTGTGGCTCCTGGGACACCGTGAATCTTTCAGTTCCTGAGAAATTGGGGCACTCCCTTAGGCAGTGAGGTGTTTAGGCTGCTTTGTGTTTCTCTATGTTTTCTTGAAGTCTGTGAGGCATATAGAAGCTTGACTTGACAGTTGGTCTTAGACATTAATCTTATGTACCCTGTATAGCTTAAAAACATCATTATATCCTGGCAAGTACCATAGTACTGATAGTGGTAATCGCCATTATATTCTGTTTCTGATAAAGGTATTAAAAAGTCTGATTGCTTGCAATAAACTTGTCTTGCTGTGGCCCCTCCAACCTGAGCCTGGTTTAATTCCTCATCGGGCCATATCAGGTATCCTGAGTCCAGTAAGTAAGTGTGGGCACTTACAGGTGGCACCTGGAACAGAGACCTGAAATATGAGAATTAAAGGAAAAGAAAAAGTTGTGGTTAAAAAGGGCTAAAGGCTCACTCATAAGTGGATACTAGATATAAAGAAAAGGACAATCAGACTGCAACTCACAGATCCAGGGAGGCTACCTAGCAGGGGGGACCGTAAATGACTGTGGCTTATAATAAGTTTTGGTTTAATCACTGGGCATGCTTTAATGAAACATTTCATTATTAGGATAAGAATTTGTACTGTATCAAGCTGATGAAAGAATATGCTGCCTGTACTTTTAGGAGGGGAGGCTAAAATCTTTTTAGATTATGAAATAGCCTAAGGAAAAATGTCTACTGTAATCAAACAGTGAAGGGGGAGATGAATAGGAATCTCACTTACACAACTTAAGTAAAACATAGCTCTCTGAACAGGTGAAAATAGGTTTCAGAATCTAATCAATATTTATTTGTATAATTCAGCTATCATTTGGCTTAAAAGGGCTTTTTGGGAAATGTTATCATTTTTACTATTTTCTACAGAGAAAATATTTTCCAGTTTCAAATAACCCTGGACTTTTGAATTATAACCTGTTTTTATTTTCAAAAAATAAATAAATAAACCTAGATTCTTCACATAAAAAAAGGGCTAAAGGTGAGAAATGCCTGGGTTTTCATGTATGCGCAAGTATAACAAGGCAGAAGAATTAATTGGAGGTAAAATGATGGGACAGGAAGTATCGAAGGAGTGACATTTGTTTGCACAATTTCTGCAAACTTTGTTGCTGGTAGGACGAGTTAAAGTGAGATACCATCAGTTGATGAAATCCCTGGAGCCCATTAATGAGCCCTTCTTTCCCTTGAGGAGGGGGTCTTTGGATCCTAGAACCTGGTCCTGTTTAGAAAGAGCAATCCAGGGAGAATTAGATTCAAGGGGAATAGAAAAATTTCTAGTGATGCTTTTCAACTTTGGAAAGAAATAAAAGCAGTAATAGATAAAAGTGACAGTTAAAATTAAAAGGAAAATGATTAAAAAACAGGACACTGGAAATAGAAGAAAAAATAGAAGCTACAGAAATATCATGCAGTGTCTTCCTCTGTGATGAAGCTGACTGTTTTCTTCCTCCTCGTGCTGATTTTACCACTCTCACCTCCAGCTCTGATTTCCTCTGCTCCTAAATCCCATTCAGCAAGTCCAGTTCTTGATAGCATGGAAGTGTTTCTGATGCTTCATTTCATTTCTTACTGAGGTTGTTAGGGATGTTTCTCAGCCTCTGATAAGAGAATTAATTCCTTTTAAGTCATGGTGTGGGTCCCATACAAAAGACTTTTGTTTTGTTTTGTTTTGTATCAAGCTGAGAGAAGAGGGAGATAACATGGAATAATTTTCTCTTTTACTGGTGCGTGAAAAGCCCAATTCTGATAACCCAGGGCAATGGGTTAAAGGCTATATATACATTTCATTTAAGACTCTTAAGGATCTTAATCAGACTTGCACTCAATATGGGCCAACTACTCCTTTTATGTAGTCTCCCCTTGATTCTATTTCTGGAGAGGCTTTTGTTCCCTCTAACTGGAGGATCTCAGCAAAAGATTGTCTTACTGGGAGCAAATATTTACTGTGGAAGACTGGATATTCAGAAAGATGTCAGGACCAAGCTGTTAAAAATCAACGAAATAATGTGCTATAACTTTTAAAATGTTAACAGGAGAAAGCATATATAATAATGCTCAACAACAGATTATATATTCTTCTGAGGTTTATATACTAATAAATGCTTTGGCACTACAAGCGTGGTATAAGTTATAAGATTCTGGAAGAAAGAGAGAGGAACTTTCTAAATTTAGACAGGGGCCTGATGAGCAATATAAGAATTTTGTTTCTTGTCTTTTACAGGTGTTCAGTTGCCTGATGGTTGATGGAAAGGCAGGAATGATTCCTACTGAGCAACCGGCACACGAGAATGCTAATGCTACATGCCAACTATCTCTTTCAAGAGAAAGGGATGTTAATGATTACATCGGCCTTTATGCCTTCATATACTCAAGGGTTCACTCTGGGTGAGGCCCTCCAAGGGCAAATAGTGCCTCAATTATTGGCAATCATCCAACAAGGAAAAAAAATTAAAAATGACAAATAACCGAACTTTACGTCAAAAATTTGTTGCTACTGCTTTAAGGAGTGCTAAAAGAAATTGTTTCCTCTTACTTTTATTAAAATTATATGGATGATATTTTGAATTCTTCTAAAAATAATAAAATTGTAGAAGATCTGTTTAAAAAAATAAAAATTGGATTAATCCTTTAAATTTATTCCTGATAGAAAAATTTAAAATATGTTCATATCGGCCGCCGCCGCCGCTCCCGAGGCCGCTGCTGCTGCCGCCGCCGCGCAGAGCCCGAACCCGAGCCGCGGCCGAGAGGAGGGAGGAGGAGGAGGTGGAGGAGGCGCCGGGCCGCGGGGTTGTCAGTATTTAAACAGAGCACATCATGCGTGAGTACAAGCTAGTGGTCCTTGGTTCAGGAGGCGTGGGGAAGTCTGCTCTGACAGTTCAGTTTGTTCAGGGAATTTTTGTTGAAAAATATGACCCAACGATAGAAGATTCCTACAGAAAGCAAGTTGAAGTAGATTGCCAACAATGTATGCTGGAAATCCTGGATACTGCAGGAACAGAGCAATTTACAGCAATGAGGGATTTATATATGAAGAATGGCCAAGGGTTTGCACTAGTTTATTCAATTACAGCTCAGTCTACGTTTAATGACTTACAGGATTTGAGAGAACAGATTTTACGGGTTAAAGACACAGAAGATGTTCCAATGATTTTGGTTGGCAATAAATGTGACCTGGAAGACGAGCGGGTAGTTGGCAAAGAACAAGGCCAGAATTTAGCAAGACAGTGGTGTAACTGTGCCTTTTTAGAATCTTCTGCAAAGTCAAAGATCAACGTTAATGAGATATTTTATGACCTGGTCAGACAGATAAATAGAAAAACACCAGCGGAAAAGAAGAAGCCTAAAAAGAAATCATGTCTGCTGCTCTAGACTTGAAGTCAGCAGCAGCTCTGAGCCAGATCACAGAAATGAAGAACTGTTGCCTAATTGGAAAGTGCCAGCATTCCAGACTTCAAAAACTAAATCTGAAGAGGCTTCTCCTGTTTTATATATTATGTGAAGAATTTAGATCTTATATTGGTTTGCACAAGTTCCCTGGAGAAAAAGTTGCTCTGTGTATATCTCCTGGAAATAAGACATAGTATTTCTCCTTTGCAATAGCAGTTATAACAGATGTGAAATAAGATACTTGACTCTAATACAATTATACAGAAGAGCATGGATGCATTTCAAATGTTAGATGTTACTACTATAATCAAATGATTTCATATTGACCTTTTTATCATGACTCCTCCCTATCAAGCACTAAAAAGTTGAACCATCATACTTTATATCTGTAATGATATAGATTATGAAATCTCCCTTTAAACTCATTGCAGCAGATAACTTTTTGAGTCATTGACTTCATTTTATATTTAAAAATTATGAAAATATCATCTGTCATTATATTCTAATTAAAATTGTTTGTGCATAATGCTTTGGAAAAATGGGTCTTTTATAGGGAAAAAACTGGGATAACTGATTTCTATGGCTTTCAAAGCTAAAATATATAATATACTAAACCAACTCTAATATTGCTTCTTGTGTTTTACTGTCAGATTAAATTACAGCTTTTATGGATGATTAAATTTTAGTACATTTTCAAAAAAAAATATGTTCATATCATTGTAGACACTTATTCATTGCCCATTTTTGCTATTCTGCTATCAGGAGAAAGAATTAAGGATGTTAATTACTTTTTTACACAAAGATTTTGCTATTTTAGGCCCCTGTAAAATAATCAAAAGCAACAATTCTCCTGCATACACAGCCAAGCCTTTTCAGAAATTTTCCAATAGTTTGATATAACCCACACCACAGGCATTCCATAGAACCCTCACAGTCAATCTTTTGTGAAAAAAAACACTAATGGACAATTTAAATGTTATTTAGTAATAAAGGAGAGAGAGTAGGGTAGTATTGCTACTCCTCACATTATTTTATCTTCTTTTTTATATACTTTAATTTTTTTAAATTTGGGCAAAGATGACCTGAGTGCTGTAGAATGGTTTTGGGGTCCTCCAAAACAATCAAAGGTCATGGTCCTTTGGAGAGATGGTGTGTCAGGTCAACAGAATGGTCCAGATTCAATAATTCATGGGAACTGAGGCTATGTTCGTGTTTTTCCTCAGGTTGCTGAACAGCCAGTGTAGACACCTGAAAGACTGACTAGACCTGTGAAAGATGGACAAGGAGCTTCTAAAGCATCTGCAGAGGCTACCCCTAAAGCAAAGGAAGAAAATGGGGTGATGGAGCCATCAAACCAAGAACAGAGTCCTCCTACCAACAATGACTCAGATGAAGAAACTGGTGACTGAGGGAAAAGAGTAGTGACATCTCAGGGGGAGGGTGTGACTACAGAATTGCTGTTCCTAGCCATGGTGTCTCTGTTGAATGCATCTGTTACTTTTGAGACATACTGGGCTTTGTACCTGATCCTTCTTTGCTTAGCTTTGTTAACTGGGAAGAGAATAACATTGTTGTGGGATAATCTTTTTGTATGTGTAAAGATGTGTCTCTGCCTCTGATTGGTTTAATGAGCTGAATGACCAACAGCTAGGCAGGAGAGAATATATAGAACTTTCAAGGAGAGAGAGGAATCTGGGAAGAAGAGAGGCAGAGCTGCCAGCGAGACACTGAGGAAGTTGTACATACAGAATGGAAGATAGTTAACAAATCATGTGGTAGAATATAGATTAATAGAAACTGGTTAATTTAAGTTATAAGAGCTAGTTGGGAACAAGTCTAAGCTAAAGGCCAAACTTTCATAATTAATAATAAGTCTCAGTGCCATTACTGGGGAGCTGACATTCCCCAGAGAAAGTCTAACAAGAAAGAGTACTTCATAAAATTCCTGTTTATGGTCATTGCCAGTGCTCTTTTGGCCAACATAAGTACATGGTGTTGCTGAAGACACCAAACACTTTGGTTGCAAGGTAGAGAGAGAGCAATCTTGAACTTACCAGGAAGTTCTCCCAACTGGGTACCTTTTATAGAACTGTAAGGTCATGTGAGGGCTGCTGGCAAAGCAAATACGTTAATAGTCTTACTTACCACATACCCTGCATCTTACAGTACCAACCTACTGAGCAAAATGTGTGCACTGGTGCAACACTGGGACAGCTGCTCATTGGCATAACGAGTCTCTCTCTATTGGATTTGAGTCCTCCTCCAGAGAGGAATTGACGCCGTGGTCACAAACCAAGACTTCAGAGTTACAGATCGGGCCGTAGACAGAACCTATTGATGTTTTATTAATGGTGATGTTGTTAATCTGCCATCTAAATATGCTTATAATTAAAATTTTTCATCCTCTCAAAAAAAAAAGATTCCTGTTTATGTCAATGACTATGAGTTCTTGGGTGCATCCACTGCTAATCATATTGTTCCCTGGGCTCAGATGGCCAATTTCACAGAGTGGGTTGTGGGAAGACCTGTTTGTTTTACATTATTTGAGGAATTCCCCTGTTTGTGTACAGGGCCCTAATTCCATAGAACAGATACTAATCACGATCAATTTGCAAACATAGCTAGGTTGATTAAAATGGAAGACATACCTTTGGTACATAAAATTTTCATAAAATGTAAAGTTCTTGTAAAAGCCCCAATGTGTAAACAATGATCTTACTACATTCTACTAAATACACCCCTCCCCAAAGAGACATGTATTCTTCCTAGGGCAGTGTATCATGAGATACCCTGGGCTCATGATGACATTTTAGACTGGTCCATTCCTGACCCAGGATCCTCACATGAAGGAGACAAAATATACACTCATGTAAGATTTATTGTGGGAGTTTTGTCTGACCTTGATGGACATTTACAGGTGGAATTATGGAAATCAGTTGTTACTACTGACCATATTTTAGTTATTTATGGAACATATCCAGTCAGTTACCTTTCATCAGGCTATGATAAAACCTCAGTGAAGTATATGAGAGCCTGTGTAGCATCTCCTTACTTACTGCTATTTGGAAAAGTTAATCAGTTTGAGGTTTCTGGGCACTATACTCAGAGGGATGTACAGATTATTTGAGTAATTACCTTGAAAAAGCTCACCCATATAATGTGTTTCTAGTTAAACAGCTCTCCCATGTTATGTTACCCATTGAGTACCTGAGTGTTGGTAAGATGATTTGAGTGTTCAGATTTTAAAATAATTTTCTGAGTTAATGTACTCAAAAAGAACAATGAGATTGATTCTATTGGGTCTTATTGCTATTGTCACACTCATAATACACTCATAGCCTTTGCTATTATCAGTGCCGTGGCTTTAGCTCAAGAGGTGCATACAGCTAAATATGTTCATGATCTGTCTAAGATCTTTCATATGCTGCAGACACAATTAAAAATAGATCAGGAAATTGAAACTCACATGAATGCATTAGAACAATTTGATTACTATTGACAATGAGCTACAAAACTTGAGAATGAAAAATTCTTGAGGTGTCACACTAATTCTCCTCGGATTTGTGTTACTAATGCCCCCTTACAATGATTCTCAACTTAACTGGAGTCAGATTTGTAATCACCTTACAGGAGTATGGTCACATGATAATTTAAGTATTGATGTTCAAGTCTTGCATGGTGTAATATTAATTATCCAACATTCAAAGTAGATATATTACCCTCCTCCACTGCTGCAGAAAACCTGACAAAGACTTTTGGGCATTATTTTTTCTGCCTCTAATTAGACCTCTGTGGTCAATAGGAACGTCTCTGCGAAGTTTTTTGTTGGTTATATTGGGAAGCATTATAGTCTTGAGATTTATTTGTGACTTGATGTCTGCCTTGAACATTAACTTGCACACCCTAAAAATAAAAAATAAAAAAGGGGAGCTGCAGGGAATCATGAAGTTGGCCTAGTCTAGCTGCCTTGAGAGGTACACATCATAGGTTTCTCAGGTTAGTGTCTGTGGCTCCTGGTACACTGTGTGCCTTTTAGTTTCTGAGAAACCAAGGCACTCCTTCAGGCAATGAAGTCTTCAGGCTGCCTTGTGTTTCTCTATGTTCCCTAGAAGTCAATGAGGCATGTAGAAGCTTGACTTGACAATTGGTCTTAGACATTAATCTCATGTACAAGATATACAGGACTTTGTCTAAAGCAGGTACCAAATGGCCTGGACTGCTTCCCATGTAGGTATGCGAAATCCTCAATTGCTTCCAATGTGAATACAGGATATCCAGGATTTCTTCACATATGGTTGTATGATACTGAGGACTGCTTCTAATGTGGGTATATGTCAATCAGAACTTCATTTTTGTAGGTGTATGATACCAAGATCTTCTTTCCATGTGAGTAAAAGACATGCAGGAATTCTTCCCTTGAAGGTACGTGTTATCCAGGACTTCTTTACATGAAGGTACAGGATATCCAAGTACTATTCCAATAGAGGAAAGTGATATTCAGACCTGCTTCACATGAGGATATATGCTATGCAGGACTTCTCCCCATATGTATGCATGATCTTCAGGTCTTCTTCACATGAAGCTATATGATATGTAGGAATTCTTCCCATGTGGGTACATGATATCTGGTACTACTTGCTAAGCATGCTCATGATAACAAGGACTGTTTCCCATGTATGCACTTAATCTTCAGGACTTCAACCCAAACAGATACAAGATATCTAGGACTTCACTGATGTGGGCACTGATAGAAAGGACTGTTTCCCTTTGAGTATTAATATTCTCAGTTGCTACATGTGATGGTATATGAAATGTAAAACTTCTTCATATTGAGGCACATGATATACACTATTTCTTTCCATGCATGTACCAATATCCAGAAGTGGTTCAGACCAGGCTATTCAGTTCCTGCAAGGGTATAAGTCATGAATATCATGAACGCACATGGGTAAAACTGATGATTAACATGTTCCTAAATTGTAAGAAGACCTATACCATATAACCCCATGGGAATAACTCCTGGTTGTCATATATCTGTATGGGAATCAGTCCTTCTTTAGAAGATGCATTGCATGCTTTAGAAGATGCTTCCTGTATGAGAAGCAGTTCTGAATATTATTACCAGCACAGGAGGAATTATTGTATATCATGTGGAAGGAAGTACTTCATGTAAGCCCACCTGATAAAGTCATGTAAAAACACATGGAAGCTGAGATACCTTATACCTATATGATACAGAGTCATGGATGTCATGTATTGGGATTGGAAGCAGTCCTGGACCTACATGAGAAGTAGACCTGGATATGTTGAATCCTCAGGGGAAGAGGTCCTGAATATTATGTTGTTGCCATGGAAACAGTTCTAGATCTCATGCACCTGCATAGGAGTAGTCCTAGATATTGAGTACATTTATTGGTCCTTGCATAGGAGTAAGTAGGGATATCATAAAACAACATGGGGCAGAGCCAGGCGGATCTCTGTGAGTTCGAGGCCAGCCTGGTCTCCAAAGCGAGTTCCAGGAAAGGCGCAAAGCTACACAGAGAAACCCTGTCTCGAAAAACCAAAAAAAAAAAAAAAAAAACATGGGAAACAGTCCTGTCTATGAGCTACCCACCCTGGATGAA